GAAATATGTAAAAACATTAGCGTTAGTGGACCTATACTAAAGAAAAAAACTGAAGAGTTTGCTAAGTCACTGGAAATTCATAATTTTAAAGCTTAAACTTAAACCCTTAGTAAGTAAAAACCTCAATAACTCAAATTATTTTACGTTTCCCTTGGTCTTTATCTCTTCGAGGTTGTACTGTATTTAGTTAAAGGATTCTTCACAAGAATTTATAGTGACACAGTGGAATTAATTCTAGACTCTAGTTTTAGGTTATCGAGTGATTGAGAGTTTGGGTCGATGAGATTGTATCTCCTTCTGTATATCGAAATACACGTGAAAAAATGATTGTGATTTCCGAGTAACAGAAATTGTTAGCTATATGTATGATGTCCAAATATCAGTTGTAATAATTATCTTTGTTTAAGTTTCTTTAAACTGTCTTCAATATTAAATTATATATTATAATTTTTGCATGTTTAATTTACGACTAATAAAATTTAGAATTACTTAATTAAGTTGGATCTAGTAAAATGAAACTTTTTTTTACTTTTACATTTACGCTTACATGTATATATATGTAGTAGAACCTTGATAACTTAAACCTCGATAACGTAATAACCTCTATAAATTTATAAAATTTTGTGTTCCCTTCCCCTCGGAGTCCAAAACCTCTACTACTTAAAATAAAAACCCTCTATAACTTAAACGAATAATTTGGGCATCGCAATGAAAAGTCAGATAAGTCATGATGGAAGGAGTAGTAGGAATATCAACCAGAGGATAGCGCAGGGTCGTGTCGCCTTTAATAAAAAGAAGTCACTTCTATGCTAGCGAATGGTTAATTTAGAAATTCGAAAAAAGTTGTTAAAGGTGTTTGTATGGAGCACGGCGCTGTACGGGTGCGAAACATGGACAGTGGGCGTGGCGGAAAAGGAAAGGTTAGAAGCTTTCGAAATGTGGTGTTATAGGCGGATGATGAGGATAACGTGGGTAGAAAAGGTTAGAAATGAAGAGGTATTGGAAAGAATAGGAGAACAGAGGACTCTATGGAAGTCAATAAAAAATAGGCGAGATAGGTTGGTAGGACACCTTC